CAAATATGGTACGACAGATGTCACCCGAATAGCATCAAGAACGTAGCAACTGAACTATCGATATCTGGTAGCTTACGACGGTAAAGTCCTCATCGTATCGCAGAGCTCTGTTCCACCTGTTCTCATGTTGTTGTCTTGGACCCGTTCGTTGTAGCTTGTCTCTCTTCTGCTTTTACACGGTTCCTTCCTATCTGCATCTAAACGTCCATATCGTCTTCTGTGATTCTCTTACTATACCTCTCAATATTCAATCCGATACGTCTTGCTTGTCCATGGTAGTTACTAGTACGCCATGCGGGCAGCGGAGGGCAGCGCCGGTCCGTGAACGCCGCGTCCTGGCAGTCAGAGAGAATGCGAATATGCGCGGGCAGGCGAGGACAGCGTCCCAGAGACCATGACATACATGCGAGAGGATGAGCGGGACGAAGAGAGAGCTGTCGAGCTGCTTGGCGACGGTGACGAGAATGTCGACGTCGATGAAGAGCTCGACGGTTTGCACCAAGTTTGCACTGCAAAAATGTCTTTGGCGCCCAATCAGCGATACGACGTAAGTTTTGACGCGTCAGCAGATCGCCTCGGCATCGCGGCACAAAACACTTTTGCACTGCAAAACTGTTATTGGCGCCCGTCTCAGGGCGGCTGGGATTTCGACGACTCCAACTCGGTGCAGCCCTTCGACGACGGCGAATTCATCAGCGAGCACCTAGGTCGACTTTCGCTATTTTGCTGCGCAATGGGGGCGTCAGACGGCATACGACTTGGACTCTCTTGTGGTACTGCTCGACTCTGACGAAGATGGAAAGCGAAAGGAACGTGGACCCCATGGTGGCTACGCTTCGCCGACGACTCACAGTGGTCAGCAGGCGATCAGCAGGCGAGCTTTGGGTTTTCAGTAGGCTCGTGAAACCATCCACGCTCGCCATCTGATCGCGCCTATCGGACATCAAATCGGACAGTGAAAGGCGCGAGCTTGCGAGCGGGCTGGGAGAACTGGTCATGGTTTTGAGGGATAGATTTTGGCGCCCAAAAGGCGTACACACACTCGACAGCAGATTGACTACTGTAATGTCTCGTCCCCGTATATCGCTTTACAGAGTACATATTCTGGTAGCTGTAGCATGTGGCTATCGAGGAGTGTACTTAATGTAGCACCCATAAGTCCATTGCAAACACAAGGCAACATTTTGCGACTAAAAGGGGTCAAATTAGGCCAATATCCAGCCTTGTTGAGCAACGTCGGCCAATGACACCTGTAAAGGAGCGAAGAATATTTATTCCATACTATAGTATACACGTAAGCACAAAGTCCGGGCGAGATAAGGCGGCATGCGACTAACCTGGGCAAAGTTGGGTCTCGGCGTCGTAGGCGCCCGAAAACCGTGAAAACCAGGATTCGCTGTCATTCCAAGAGTATGGATGCAAGTGGCAAAAAATCCCTATGACGCAGTCACGTGAGTGTTCTACATGCATCATACATGGTTTAGAATGTGTCGTACCGGATATCACTTGAATCAGAGCCCAATTTGGGTTGTATTGCAGGCTAAATTGCTGAATTTCCGGCCTAGTGTGCGCGTCATGGGCAGTAAACGGCAAAAAGCATCGCCAAACGGTAGCTATAGCTTATGTGAGACATACTAGACATTTGATTTGAATTCCAGAGAACTTACCATTCATACGCTCGATATTCTGAAAATCGCAGAAACAGGCGCCCAAAGGGAGGGCTCTCAGCATATTGGGCTCGCATTCGTTCTCACACGCATTCTCTGCCCTTCGATGACCTGTAAACGTCTCAGAAACATGCTAGATACCGTATGGCAGGTCACATAGCGTACCTTGATACGGCTATCGAGTATGAATGCGGAATTTGGGTGAGCTTAGGCGCAAAAATGGCCAGAGATCGCGCTCCGATGGCTATTTGAGCCAGGCACGTCGTTAGTACCTCCTAGATTCATTCAATAGGCAAATTCAAAACATTTTTTGATTATACGAAGATATCTGAGAGACACTTACACGCTTGAGTCTGCATCCCCCGGGCTGCTGCAGACACAGCAGTAGCATCGCACTAGATAGTGTGCTGCGCCTAGCGGCCGCGCGAGAAGGGCAGCGATAAGACAAGAGATATATTCTGTATGTTTGTCCGTCATATCGTATACAGAGGACGCTCCTGTGGATATTCGCAAAGTGAGACAGTGTGCCCGTCGGAAAACATGAAAAAACGCGACTCACAAGGGATGTCGCCACAAAAGAGCAAGTTTTTGAGCTCAATCTAGCTTGTATATTATACTGAAGTCATATGAGCCACATTGCATCGACGACTGGAGGATGTCGAGAGTAACAGAGCTCACCGACCATGAAATTCAGAGGCAAGAATTTCGCAAAGTCCAAGCGCCTGAGGGCGCCAAAAACGATCCCTCAAAACCTTGACCAGTTCGCCCAGCCGGTTCCACGAGGAACCCTGAGCGCAGCGGCGGAGCTTGAACTCGTGGAACCGCTGGGACCCCGAGCCTAGGTTTTCAGACATCCTGGCGTCGAACGTTGCACCATTATACGGATAATTTCCATGAGAAAATGGCTCAACAGGCCGTAGGAGGCCGTAGGCGAGTCTTTGACTTTCAAGATTCTCGCGGAGAGCCTGCTGGGTTGGGATGCTCAGGACGATCAAGCGGGCGGCCTCACATGCAGCACTTGCACAGTTCATCCGAGAGTTTATATACAGCAGAGGTGCGTCTCTCGGACATAATTCCATTTTGGTTTGATTGTTGCTCAAGGACGTACGATGCCTTCTAAGGCAAAGATTCAACGTGAAGACGCTCATTGTAGTACAGGTGTAGCCGCCGCGGCGCACAGTCCCACAGAGCTGTCGGCGCAGTTGCAATCTCATGTCTGCAAATGTTATCTTTCGTTTGCATCTTGGCCTCCTATAGCAAGTAATGAATCATCACGGTCAGCGCCCTCGCGATTGTCTTGACAGGCGGGACCAGGTAACGGATCCGTTCGGCAGAGCGTATCTACCTACTCTGGCCAACATTCTGGTCTCGCTGGGAACGACGCTGAAGATCCAGGAGAATCAATGTTGGGGTTGAGAAAGCAAGTCAAATTCTGTTTGTGGAGTATCATACTTCCACACGCCCCCGACGTATAAGATCTGCGGACGTCAATGGCTGCGGTGCGTCGCCTCATTGCCCCCTTCCTGTCCGAGACTGAACACCTACCAAACAAGCCCAGCGTTTCTGGAACATCTGGGACATGGATGGATTTCAAAATGGGTCTATCGATATATCGGGCGTGTAAGCTCTCCGTGGGTTTGCATTGCGTTCACCGCGGCCTGACTTGTGCGGTCCAGCTATGAGCAGAGCTATATGCAGCTCTTGGGGGTTGGTAAGCTCGTATCGACCTCAAGTAGTCCAGTCCACGTCTCACTTCGTCTTTTCTGCTCCAGTGATACTGTACTATGATTACTGTTTAACATTGAACTCGGAGGTTACATACATCTGGAGCAGACCGAACGTCCTATCCTCCTGCTGGCCGTTTCTTCTAAATCGCTACTTTTCCATCTTTGCAGTGCGCCTTTCAGGACTGCATTATCAAACGACCATTACCTGATGATGTGACAGAATATAGCCACTACTACTGGAAGTTTCGCTCCTTTCAAGACGGTGAAGGTGAGGAGTCTTTTTACTAGGCGGACGAGATGAAATACCCAATGACTCAAATCGTCGGCAGTCTTGTCAGAATTACGCACTCTTCCATCAGCTCGTCATCGTCGTAGCTCAATTGATTGTATCTTGTGAGCAGCGACAACGCTTCTTTCATGACCCTCGTACATATTGATCTGTGAATTAGACATCTTGGCGTTGCGGACGGTCGCTTTATGGGGCGGAAGCCGACGTTTGTTGATAATCATCTTTAGTGTTGCTTTATCCTTGATAGCGATAACGTTGGTACGAGTCCCCTTCGCAATTTAATACTGGAAAACATCTGACTCGCATCTCTACGCAGTGGGCTCTTACCGGTCAAAAATCGGACACCAGCATTGACTTCGGATGTCATACCGCCTCCTCCAAGATAACGTGAGTCTTTGCCCGATGCACACGCGATGTATATGATGATTCAATTCGCTGTCGCAGGGCCATCCGTTTGTCCTTCCTCAGTCTCCAACAGAACGTTTCCGTTGAATAACTTTGTCAGATATCGCGGTGGCTTGGGAATGCCTTTTCGTTTTCGATACGATGATCTTGTCTCTGACTTTGTACAAGTCGTACAAGGAGATCTCTCGGGAGTATGTTGGAACTCTCAATCTAATGCTTCTGATAGCTAGAGACGGTACGTGTCGATACGATATCACTTGCATGTGGATGAATTAATTAACGTAAGCTTGCTGGTACAGGTGCTATATACTTCGCGTGAGTTGCATCTTGTCTTACGTCCCCCTCTACTTTTTCTCACTCAGAATTTGCAGCATCATGGCGTGCGCGAACTTGGCCAACGTCTTGACGTTTTACGTGCGTTCATCCTCCATCTCACCATGCGTCGTAGCTTAATCAGACTCCCGAGTCCCTTAGTTCTGGAGTGTACGTTATCCTCAAATTGCACGACAAGTATCGCAGCGTCTCACTTCTCCCGCAGCCCGCACTACGAGGCGCACTATCAACAGCCGCGAGTAGCGTGTCTGTGAGCATGATGTCGAGAGTCATGCTCAACCTTCAGGAGAAAGCCGAGCGTACGCGCACTCTCGACAGAAGTTCCGCCAATCGCACATCGACGACGCTGCTCTTCGCCTCTCGCGGCAATACGTCTGCACGAGCACCCACGGAAGAGAGAACACGTCAGGTCCCGGACGAGGATGTATAATCAAATGCTTCTAGATGGCGTTCACTCCAGGGTACTTGATCGTATGATACCTATATAATCATCTCATTCACACTGTCTTCGTCTTCGTAGCAAGTCTCCTGCGACGGGAGATAGGTTGTTGTGACCGCACGGCGCCCTTCAGAGTTCATGGTGAGATGGCGGAGCGGTCTAAGGCGCCAGACTAAGGAAGTTCTTCTAACAAATCTGGTCCGAAAGGGCGTGGGTTCAAATCCCACTCTCATCATTAAGACGTTACCTTGCGACGCTGCTTTTTTCGTTCTACTACATATTGAGAGTATTTTGGTCCGACGAGTGAGTACTACTACTAGAACTTTTACCAGAATGTAGGATGAGTACCAGTGGTAATGAGTGCTGCGGGTATACGTGGCAGTACTATGACGTCCCGTTTGTTCAAAAAAGATTTTCGCGCGCACA